GTCCAGGGCCTCACGGGGCTCCCTGGCCTGGCCACATCCCTCCTGTCAGGTGGTCACATGAGGTGCGGCGTGGGGGGACACAGTCAGATATGCCCAGATGGCTCTGATGGAGGGTTCCCTCCTCTCACTGGCTGTCACACGGCTCCTCCCTACTGGCGGGGGCAGGGGACAAGGGGGGTAGGGGCTTCAGAGACTCCTGGGAGCTGAGTGACGCTACCAGGACCCACCGCACAGGTCCTAGATGCCAGAGTCCCCTCCACCCCACCTCCTGGCACACCCAACGCCTCACCTTGGGGGAGCTCTCGCGGTGCCGGATGACGCTGTGCAGGTTCTTGGTGATGTGGGTGTCCAGGCTGCGGGCCAGGTTCCAGGGCTTGCAGATCCAGTGGTTGTCCTCACCCCTGGGACCAGACGGGGCCGGCTAGGCTGTGCCCGGGCCCACCCTCCCAGGCAGTGTGTCCCTAGGACTGTGCAGCAGAGCAGGGGCACCCGAACCCCCTGGGGGGCCGACGGAGCTGCACTCCAGGCAGAAGGACTACCTGAGCAGAGGCGCTGAGAGCCCTGCGGCAGCCCCTCACTGAAGGGTGCCCATGGCTCCTGGGACTGCGGCCTGTACACAGCAGGCATCCAGCTACGGAGCAGGCCAGGAGGAGTGAGGACGGGTGAGGCTGCGGCAGGCGGGGGCCGCAGGAGCACGACAGGCGTGGGGTCTCCACTCACAGGGCTCTAGGGGCACTTACCGCCTCTCCCGCTGCTGGAAGTAGCTGACAAACTGCGGCAGCTCGGTGCGCAGGTTGAAGGTGCGGGGCAGCCAGGCCGGGCCCTCGGGGCCCCCCGCCCGGCGTGCGATGGAGGCCAGGCAGTCCTTCACCGTCAGCAGGTTCTCGCAGGGAAACTGGTTCAGCAGCACGTTGGGCCTCTCCTGGCTCAGCCTCCTGCGGGGCCGAGGAGGTGCGATGGGTCAGGGGCGGGTGAGGGTGCTGGGGCCTGTGTCTGGAGACCGGGGCGGGGAGGTGTCTCACCTGTAGTCCTTGAGGTGTGAGAAGTGGTAGAGGACGTCGGCATCCGCCTCGCTCTGGGTGAAGGTGAAGCGCGGGTGCGTGAGGTGGCTGAGCACCTGCTGGACATCTGTGTAGACCCTGCGAGGGGCCGGACTGAGGTCAGCCAGCTAGGCTCGGGCCCCATGGCCCCTGCTTGTCCGCCAAGTGACAGGACAACTTGGACCCTCACGACCTCAGGTTACCCACCAGTAAGATGGGACCCCAGGGCCCACCTTACGCTTGACCTCAGGATGAAACAGGAGAACTTGAGTGTTCAACAAACATGAGCTCTTTTCTTCTCATGTGGAAATAGGACAGGGTGGACACACTAAGAACTCTGTCCTCAGAGAAGGGATCAAGGACCCTAGGTGCCTGCAGGTGAGCGTGTGTCCAAGACAAGTGCCCCACATAAGGCCTCATTCCACGCTGATGCTCGCTGTGCCTGCCATGCCCGGCCGTGCTAGCCCCAGGCAGAGGGGAGGACAGGCCCTGGGAGCCTGTCTGCTGGCGGTGGTGGATGCAGCCGTACTTTTAAAGCGATGGGGCCAAGTGTGAGGGCGGGAGGGAGGCACAGCTGTGGACAGTGTTCTAGGGGAGGAAGGGAGGTGAGGAGCTAGACCGCTCAGCTGGGCCAGCACAAGGCCTTTAGCCTGGGGCTGGTGCATGGAGCACAACTGTGGGTAAGTGGCAAAGCTAAGTGCCTCAGGGAGGGGGATGAGGGCCCAGCCCAGGGCCAGTGGGGAGGAAGCCCCCAGGACCTGGGGGAGGAAGCAGAGGGAGCATGTTGCCTGTTTCTGGCAGGATCAGGTCTGGGTGGCCAGAGGGAAGGGTTCCCACTGGAGACAGAGGCCAAACTGCCCCTGGCTAGGCTGGGACCCACCCCCTAGCCAATGCTCCCTAGTGGGTGGAGGTTCAGCCTGGGCTCGCATGCCTGCATGGCTTCCCGTAACCTGCCAGCCCACACCTGTGGACACCTGGAAATGCCCCCTTCCTGGCAGCCCAGGTGCCTTTCCCAGGTGCCCAGCACGGTGACTGTCAGCACTGACTCCCTGCTTCCAGAGGGGGCCGGCGTGTGCAGCCGGGCTGTATACCCCTAGCCCCACCCTCACTTTCCAGAGCCTTCTCTCTGTGATCCTGAGGCTCCACCCCAGCACGTCCGTCACTGTCATGCTGTCCGGAGGCAGAGGACTTACTGAGCGCCTCCCTGCACCAGGCACTGTCCCAGGAGTTGAGGGGGCTGGGGGGGAGTGTGTGAGGAAAGTGACCGAGGGAAAATCTGATCACAGGCTGACAAGGAGGGCTACGCACTTGAAGACGTGGTCACAGGGATACGCCACCGGGGTGATGGCAAGTGGCAGCTTCTCCTTGTTTTCCTCCAAAATGGCCTGGAAGGGAAGCATTGAAGGTAGAAACATACCCTCAGGAAAGGGAGCGAGTGAACACATGCCTCCCCATCCTGTACCTTGGGGTTTTGAGATCGCAGGGGGCACACCCGGACCTCAGGAAGAGCCCTTCGCAGACACTGCAGCACCCAGAACCCTCTGACTGCTCCCACCCGGTAGTCTGGGGCTCAAGGCCCCTCAGGTGCCAAACAGCCTGTTTTGTGTTCAAAAGAACAATGTAAACATATAGAAAATGTTCTAAGTCTCCTCAATGCTTCCTCCAAGTCACAGGCAGCCGAGATGTGCCCAGCCTGTCCTGGAAAGGGGCTGCCTGGTCCTAGGGGAGTGCCCGAGGGCTGTTCGAGCTTCAGCAGCATGGTAGTTTAAAGCATGCCCAGAAACTCTTTGACACCCTTTTCAAAAGGCAGTTAATTCATCTCCCCTTGAGGGTGGGCTGGACTGAACGAGCTGCTTACAACAAATTAAAAGAGAGTGGAACAAAATGCTTCATGAAAGGTCCTGCAGCTCCCCTCCCCGCCTTCTCTCAGACCCTTGCTCTATGAGGGGTGAGCCGCCACATCGCGAGGACGCTCAAGCAGCCCAGGAGAGGTGCACGCGGGCAGGAGCCAGGCCTTCTGCCGACAGCTGGCACTGCCTTGCCAGCCGTGTGAGGGCTCCATGTGCGAGCAGGACCCGGCCCCAGGAAGCCTCAGATGACAGCGCCAGCTGACAGTGGGGCTGCGCTGTCTGAGACTGAGTCAGAAGCCCCCAGCCCAGCCACTCCCCATCTCCTCCCCACAGGAAGGAAGTGGTAATGAAGGTCCGCTGTTTTGAGCGGCTGTGTATTGGAGTAACTTGCTACCTGGGGACAGCTAAATACAGGCAAGCCCAGGGCCCAGACTGCAGGCCTGATCCAGACGAGCCAACCACGAGAAACCACGAGGATGTTTTGAAAACCAGTGTTGGCTCGTACCTCCTCTGCCTGGCCAGTAGAGGGCACCCCCCCCCAATACTAATGTCAGCTCAGGTCCCTCTAACAGCCTCCAGGTTAGGAAGTCTTTGTCCCTTAGCCAATTCTTTAGCCTCTCCCCTTTACATCTGCTCACTGTTCAAACGTTTACCAAGCACCTACTGGGTGCAGGCCCTCTATGAGGCCCTGAAACACAACTCCGAATTGGGAAGGGTGATCACGGAGTTTTCGGCAGGATTAGTTCAATCACCGATGGCTTAAATCGAATTCAAAGGGAAAAGTGACAACGGGGCCACATGCCAGCCTGGCTCTCCCAAACAGCAGCATCAGAGAACAGCTAACGCCACACATGCTTCCCACTCTGACCCAAGTCAACTGGCTTCCTCCTGCCCACAATCCTCTGGGGCATTCAGGGAGCGTCTGATGTGCTGGCAGGGGCAGGGGATTTCAACATGGTGGGGCAAGGTGGGACCCTCCGCCCACAAATTACCAGGACCTCCTGGTTTTGGATGCCAGCTCTTCTACCAGCTGACCTTTGGCAAGCTACTTAACCCCTCTGTGCCTCAGTTTCCTCATCCTCAGTAAAATGAAGATAAAAATAAGCCCAGACATCCTACTGGAAGGATTACAGCAGTGCACGCCAATAAAATGCTAACAAGCAGGGGCTCATGCACCTCTTGGCTTCCAAGTGGGTACCAGCTGACTGACAGGAAGCCGAGGCAGGTGGTCAGAGGGCAGGGGAGGGAGGAAAGAGGGGCCAGGGTGTTAATCCCTGCTCCAACTTGCCTGGTTCTGGCGCTGGCTGTGTTCGTACAGGCTCCACTTTGTGCTCTGCCCCAGGCCTCAGCGACCCTCGCTCCCTCAGCTGGCCTGCCCATGGGCCCTGCATTAACTCACCACTAGCCAGGTGAGTGGGCCCGCTGGGTCCTGGTGGGGCCCTGACCGAGGATGCTCATGGACTGAAGCATGGCTGCCATTCACAGCAATCACATGCATGAAAACCGCTAGTTGAGGGCCTACTATGTGCCAGAAAACCTACCATATGGTGTCTGAGTACAGTGTCCTCATATCCCTGGTGAGGAAGGTGTCAGGAGATGAGGAAACCCTGCGGTGCCAGGATTCACGCATGGAGCCAAGCTGCATTACCCACACTGCCCCTGCCTCCAGTCCTGGTAACGAGTCCCCCGAAACGAGCAAAAGCAGCACCTCCTCCACCCCACCAGCTCCACCCAACCCTCTGAAAGGACAGTTTCCAGCACGGAGCACCTGGAGTCTGGGCTCAGGGCTGGCGCCAAGCTGTGTGACTACAGCAGCAGATGTCCACTCCCTGAGCTCTGAGCCCTTGTCCCTCAGACACCCCCCAATCTCTTCTCTACCTCGCACGGCAGTTGGCTGGTGCTTGGGAACATTTGGTGAGTGGACAGAGAATGTTCTAGAGATGACCAGGCAAACAGGCCCAGGGGTCGGGGGTGGCAGTCGCACCTGGTAGTGCTCAGCGGGCGGCTCGGGCGTTGAGGAGCTGAGGTCCAGCAGGTCAGCAGGGGCCCAGGGCAGCAGCATGCACCTCCGGATCAGAGGGTCGGCCTCTCCGTAGGCAAAGTCCCGGGTCACCTCCTCTGCACCGAGACACGCAGGCCTGTCAGGGGCGGCAGGAGAGCAGCTGACCCTTCCTCAGGGGTGGGCGGGGTCAGACTTACCACCTGTGTCCAGGTCCCTCAGGGGCCACAGCAGCGTGTAGGCCACCTGCTGGGGCATGTAGAAGAAGGGTGCAGTGGCGAAGCTCGGCTCGTCGGCGTGCTGGATGCGCGAGCCGAATTCGTCCATGATGTACCACACTGGCACCTTCTCCTCAGCTGTCTGCGGGCAGAGCACACATGGCTGCCCTCATCCACCTGTCCATCTCCCCGACCCTCCCGTCCGCGCACCTGAACACCTACCACCAGCCTGTCTATGCCCAACTCTCCAAGCCTAGATCCTCTACCACACACGCTTCCAGTCCCTGTAACCTGCAGCCTCTGGGACCTCTGGCAGACCAGGACATGGCCCAGTGGACTGCTGTGTGATCACTTGTGTGGCAAAGGCGTATGGAAAGAAGCCACTCAGCCTAGTAGCTACATGGAAGTGTTTGGATTTTTGTGTGTTGTAAGGAGAGGAGTGGTGAGACTTTGAGTTCAGGGAAGGCTTCCTGGAGGAGGCGACATCTAAGCTGAGATCATGAGAAATGACTTTTGTCTTTTCCCATACTGAAAGTGGTAAGAGGGGCTGGAGTGTAAGGGTGAATCTGGGGAGGCCGAGAGAGGGGAATGATGTAAGCCCAAGGATGTGCTAAAGGGACTCAACCTTACTCCCAAAGGCAGCAAGGGACCACAAAGGGCTTTTAAGAGGGTGACAGAACCAGAAGGTGCCAGGAAAGAGGCAGCAAGGCCCAAGTCTAGGGGTCGGAAAGAGTTGTGTCATGTGAGTTTAAAGTCCACATGGACACCTGGGTCACTGGGCCCATGTCTAGGGGTCTGAAAGAGCTGTGTCACGTGAGTTCAAAGTCCACATGGACACCTGGGTCCCAGCATTGGGTGGCCCAAGGCAAAGAGTAACAGGCCCACGATGAAGCCATGGAGAATGAAGGGGGTGTCCGTTGGCCATGGAAGACAAATTTGCTCCCTTGTGGGGTAAAGGGCCAAGGCTGGGTTGGGGTTCCCCTGGACGGCCTCCCATCAGCCCTGGTGGCACGGGGCAGTGAAGGCCTGTCTGCCTCCCCCAGGGCCCAGCTGCCTGCTCACCCCATGGGCCAGCTGGTAGGTCTGGTTGAACTTCCACATCTCCTCCAGCACCAGGTCCACAGCCTCGGCGCTGGGCAGCTCGCCATGGAACTCGATGCCCATCAGGTTGGCCATGCGGTGCAGCAGCCCGGGCACCTGCTGCAGCTGCTGGCGGGCATGCTCCACGCGGCACGTCCAGGCGTGGTCGATGAGGAAGATGCTGCAGGCACAGGCCACAGGTGAGTGGAGGCAGCCACACAGGCGGGGGAAGGGAAGGGTGGGAAAAGGGAGGCAGGGGGATCCACCTGAGGAAGAGAGCAGGGCTCTGGCCTGGACTCGGCACCCAACTTGAGACTTGGTCTCCCCAGCACCAGCGGGCCTGGGTGGGGATCCTGGCTCTGCTGACCACTCACTGTGTGGCCCTGGGAGAGTTCCTTTCCTTTTCCCAGTTTCTAAAACAGGGCAGCAAGGTCCCTACCTCCTATCAGCAGGCTGATGGAGTATCAAGAGGCAAACACAGCACGCTGACTGTGTACTAGTATCGCCACAGTAACCACCACATCTGTAAGTGTCCTCGACTGGATCCTGAACTGCTCGAGGGTAGGCCCACACTCCCCACCTTGCTACCTGCAGGCCTGACACACTGTAGGTGCTCAGTGAAAGGAAAGGCTGCACCTGCTGGGAGGCCAGCTCTGGGCAGATGTGCAAAGGAGCCCCACTGAGAGCTCACGCGCACCTGCCTAGGACTGCAGGGCCCTTCCTGGAAGTGCCACAGCCTTTGGCAGGAGAGGCCTCAGGTCCCTACATGTGTGGGTGCCTGCAGCCCATACAGTCTGTTCTCCCTGGAGGAACTGAGGGGGCCATGCATGGCTCTCACACGGCCACGGTGGGGGCGAGGTGTTCCCACTGCAGGCCCCAGGCCATGGCTGCCCCCAGCCCACAGGTCAGGGTGCCTGGACACCACCCAAGCCCTGCTGACTCAGAGGCTCCAATGCGGGGTTCTGCCTGGTGGGAGAAGCAGCCCTGGCCTACCCCCTTGCTAAACTGAAAGGAACAGCAAACGCCTCCGCTCTTAGACTGGGGGGCTGGCTCAGTGGTATGTATTTTCCTGTGCTGATACTACTTTTTGTTCACACATCCTGAAACAAATGAAGATTTATTCCTGTCCTCATGCCGTGTGAGGTACTGCAGAGACAGGCCTTCCAGGTGGAGCCCTGGGCAGATGCATACGAGGACTGCTGCTCATGGCAGGTGCGGGAGAGGATGGAGGCTGGCGCCTGGCCATCGGGGGAGGCTCACAAAGGTCTCGAGGGAGAAGGCCCAGGAGCAGGAAGGGCAGTGGAGCTGAAATCAACACCCAGGGCTCCAAACCCAACTCCATCCATATCTGCATCCCCTGGCAAACCTGACGGGTGGTGGCATGTGTGGTGGAGGGTGCAGAGAGGTAGCCTCTGGGCCTGAGCCCCGCAGCCGGCACAGGTGGGAACAGAGCAGGCACGCACGAGTCTGCTGAACTGAACTTAATGAGAAAGGTGAGCTGCGGGTTTGACTCAGAGAGCATGTGGGTGGAGGTGCCTGGCTGCTATAATTACCTGTGTGGCTGCTCCCACCTCAGCAGAGGCTTGGGGAGGAGGCAGAAAGCCCTGCAGAGGAGGAGCCAGACCTCCTGGAGAACCTATGGACACAGGAGCCCAGTCACCCTCAGAAGCCGGCCAGCTTCCCCCTCCAGGTTCCAACAAAGCTGGCAGAGGCCTGCAGGCCTGTCCTGGCCAAGAATAGCCCTTTTTGGCCCCTGGGAGGCAGGAAGCCTGGGGTCCAGTCATGGTCCTGCCCTTTCCACCCTGTGGCTCTGTGTAAGGCCCAGGCCCACTCCCAGCCTTGCGCCCTCACCCAAGGCACCGAGCCCAGGGCTCCACCCAGAGGACTCAGGTTCAGCAGGACTGGGTGGGGTGGGGGAAGCGCCAGGGGTCCTCGGGAGAAGCCCGGACTCACGAGTGAGACTGCCCTGGGTTTGATACCCACAATCTTAACCAGCTGTGTGACCCAGGGCATGTCCTTCCCCACCGTTTCCTCGTCACATCTCCATGGTGGGCCCACTGGGACAGTTAGGAGGCATATAGGGGGAGGCTGCTCTCAGGACGGTGGGAGACACGACTAACACAAGAGCACTGTGTCAGGGCTGACACGACCCTGAAGCCCAGCTGGAGACACAGCGGCCCCAAGTGCACCTTGTCTTAGGGACGGATAAGTGACCAGTGCCTGGCACACAGGAGTGCTTGCAATGACTGCTTTTCCCCAATGCTGACGGCCTTGGTGACACAATTCTAAAAGGGAGCCTGGCTCTGAGAGCCCCAGTGTGAGGAGGGACATCTGGTCAACGGCTCCTACCTGTTGGGGTCGGCTGCCCGGAGCCCATTCTCGTTGGTCACGATGACCTTGTAGCAGAGCTCGCCGCCCGGGTTGGGCTTCTTCCGCGCTTCCCGGGCCACCTCATCCTCACTCTCGTCCTCCTCCACTTCTTCCACTTGCATTATCCCAAACATCTCCCCGGCGTCAAAAACCTGGGGGACACAGGTGGGGGTGTTGGCAGGAAACCCCATCCCTGGCCTGTTCCTTCCACCACACCCTGGCTTCCAGGACCCCGAGGAGAAGCAGGACTTATTTACTGCCCATCTACCCACTGCACAAGTGGGGAGCCTGACAGGGAGAACGAGGGCTGAACAGACCCCACCCTCACTGGTGCTGTCGTCCAAGGCCCCTCACCCCGTGGGAGCCACAGTTGGAGGTGGGATCGCATGCACGTGTCCCAGTCACATCTGGTCTGGCCCCGTGCTTTTCAGGGAAAATGAGGCCCGAAAGGCAGAGGGACTGGAAGGGTAAGAACCTTGGTGGCCAGGGATTTCACCCCAGTTTTGTTCTCATCAGGAGAACCAGTCCAACAGCAGGGCAGCGGAGGCAACCCGGGAGCAAACAGGTGCCCGAGAGCCTCCTGCAGCCACCCAGCCAGCCCAGGTATGCACAGAGCATGACCTGGGACTAGTCTGGGACAGAAGATAACAGCCTTGGTCCTTGAGTTTCCCTGGCAAAGTGCAACTGCCATGTGCAGCTGGTGAAGAGGACAAGCCAGTTGCCCCCGATTCAGCCACACTCAACACACCCTGTGTCTGCCATAAATCAGCAAGTGGCCTTGGGGCAGATCCTGCAGCCAGGCCACATGACCTTGAACAAGTCA